CTAGGATTTCAATGCTGAGTTAGACACATAGCCACCAGTCATAGAGATAACTGGACAATTTCAGAACTCCCCAAGGGGGTTCAATCCTATGAAATTTATAGCACCAAGGGTCACAGAATGTGCGCTTTCTGAAAGCAGGTTGAGTTGCAGAGAATTAAAATAAGGGAGAGAAACGAAGCTATGAATTTTCCAAAGGGTTGGAAAGAAAGCCGAGAATGTTACTTCCCAGCAAGAGAGCCAAGGGTGATGGAAAAGGAACCTGCAGGTCAACTCTCACCTTGTGAAGACAGGGGGAATAAAGGTTCTTCCTCAAGAACATGTCCTGCTGGAGCGGCCCCTCTCAGAGCCCTCAGTCACAATGGAGAAGAGTGTGTCTTCTGATGCCTGTTTCCCATGCTGGACCTTCAGCCCCATAAAGTTAGGAAGGACCAGTGGCCTCAGGGCCTGGCACAGAGCAGGCAATTAACACACACGCACACACACACCCAAGGAATTGATCTGTCAATTCATAACACATTCTTCTGTTTATCCCAAAGGAAATCTTCCACTGCTAATGCTAAGATGGAAAAAGTTACATAACAAGGACTGCGTATGGTGCTTTGCCCCCTAGCACTCTTCAAACATGCTGGTGGGGATAATCTAAGACCTAAAAACCCTGTCAAAAAGACAAGACTTTAGCTGAATCTTATTTTGGGAAGAGTGCTGAGTCTCAGATTGGTTACATTCTTGATTTGTGACTGAGACACAGGACAAAGCAGAAGTGGAGAAGGGGGGAAATGGGGGTGGTAATATAGAAAAAGGATTGACACTCAAAGGCATAAAATATATGGTTAGCGGAGATAACACTGCCTCTCAATATTTTATTTTTAAATATCCCAAATCATTTAAGAATTGTTGGCAGGAAGACTATTTCTATTTGGCAATTTACACAAATGCACACACATCTTCCCAGGCTACCCATCCTCAGTTCTCCAGGAGCAACAGAACAGCTTCAAAACCAGCTGGTCAATTGGAAGTGAGTGGAAAAGAGCAAGAATTGGTGAAGGTGTAGAAAACGTGGAACTCTCATACACTGCTGGTGGAAATGTAAAACGTGCAGTGTAGCTAACTTGGAAAACAGTTTGGAAGTTCCTCAAAATTTACACACAGTATTATACATGACTCAGAAATCTCACTCTCAGGTATATACCTATAAGAACTGAAACTATATTTCCACACCAAAAAAACTTGCAAATTAAAGTTTAGAGCAGCAATACTCATAAAAGCTGAAGACTGGCAACAACCCAACTGTTCATCAACAACAAGAAATGAAGTATTGATACATGTTACAACTTGGATAAACCTTGAAAAGATTATGCTAAGTGAAAGGAGCCAGTCACAAATGACCACAGAGTATATGATTCTATTTACAGGAAATGACCAGAACAGGTAAAGTCATAGAAACAGAGTAGATTAGTGGCTGCCTGAGGATAGTAGGGTTGAGGGGAAGTGACAAGTAATGACTAATGGGTAAGGGAGTTGCTTTAGGGGTGAGAAAAATGTTCTAAAATGTACTGATGGGGGCATTATTTTGTGAATATACCAAAAGTTAATTGTACACTTTACACAAGTGAATTACTGGGCTCACCTAAAAGTTCATTCGGGTTTTTCTCTAAGATCTAATGGAAAAACCCAAACAAACTTTTTGGCCAACCCAATAAATGGTATGTCAATTGTATCTCCACAAAGCTGTTACTAAAAATGGGGTGTGGGGTGGGGAGCGTGTGCACAGAGTATGGGCCTGGGACCTCCAGAAACCAGTACATCCTGAAATTGGAATGCTCTTGACTATACACTGTTAAGGATATAAGGCACTGCTCAGGGCCCACATTCTTTAAAGATTCACATGGCTGACCTCCCTCCAGGCTTGCTTTATTTATGAGATGATAAGGCTGCTGTAAGCAATCTGAAGGCAACCTATTTGGTATCACTTTCAAATACATCAAATGAGTGACTCATCAGAAGATGCAAAGGAAACTAGCTCACAATGACAGGCTCTGATGAGATGCTTTCCATCAGATAGAGGCAGAATGGCCTGCAAGTTAGGACCAACACTGGTGCGCTCAGAGCAGACAGATCAGCTTTCAAAAAAAGGAAAAACCTGGGATATTTGCCTAGGGTGATGTGCCCAGAACATACCTGAATTATCTTTCATCCTTCTTGCTATACTAGGATGTGGGGTGTGAAGCACCCATGAATAGGCAGCAGTCTTTAAAAAAAAAAAAAGTTGTCATCTTTAATCTGTGCACCAACACATCAGAAAGATGGCATTATCCCCATTTTACAGGCAAGGAAATAAACTCAAATTCCAACAGAAACCATCTCAAAGGAAGTTAGTTACCCTACATTGCAGCATGCTCCACCTCCCCACGTGGCCATCCTCTTCTGGGCATGGAAACAGGCAGAACTGCTCCTGCGACTACTCAAGGGAACCCTGGGCAGAGGTGCCCAATGGCTCAGAGCCCACTTCCCTTGCCCCAGGACACCTCTGGCAGTTGGATGGATTTGTGGTCTAAGTCCCTGAAGTCAAGAGTAGACAAAAATCCATCCATCACTCGCCAGGACAGATACAAACCTCAAGATAATTTGTTTTCCAACGGTTTTGGCTTAAAGATCTGGTTTGGCATTGGTTTTTTAACAACTAACAGCTGTAGGCAATTTTCACACAGAATAAAGACATCAATAAGGCTGAGAGTGGAATTTTCTCCCTTATGAATACAGAACAACGAGCTGTCCTCAAGATGGACATGGAGCAGCCACCACACAGGCTCTGGCTTGGGTCTCATTTGGGGAGGCTGAGAGGATATAACTGAAAGGGCCACGGAGGTGGGTGCTCTGAGGGGACTAGCTCTGTCCACCAGTTTCTCTACCACTGAGGAGGCCTTTGTCTATCAGCAATATCTGTCTCCCTTAGTGGATCTTGGTTTTAAAATACTTTAACTGGTAAATGATACCAAGCCCATCAATGCATCATTACTGCCTTTCATGACAGCCGTCATGACACATGATTCACTGCCCATCCCTGGGAAAGGACGGTGTCCCCCACACATCCCAATGACCTCAGGTTCGGCCATGTGATTTGTGGTGCCAGTCCCTACAGAAGGATGACACATCCTTGCCCCTGTGAACTCGGGAGTGGCAATGTGATCTGTGTAGGCCAAAGGAACGTGAGTTGATGTGACATGTGTCATTTGCAAGCATAAGCTTAGAGCCTGAGAAGTTCACCATGTCTCTCTTTCCTCTGCCACCAGGCCTGGGCCTTGCTCTTGAGTAGACGATGGCACAGTGCAGAACCACAGCTGATCCACAGTGGACATGCAGCATCAATATTAGAGAGGCCACTGAGGTTTTGCTATCACAGGATAAACTAGCCACAGATGACCAGGACAGCCATTAACACTGATCCCTTCCACTTCTCTTTTCACCTTCAATCCCTCCTGACCACTCACCTCCGCCAAGAGGTCTTCCCTGACTACCCTCCTCATCCGTCATGTCCTATATCCCACAACAGTCACACACAACCTATGCAGAGGTGTGTATGCTTCTTGCCTTGGTGCATTACACCTCTCATTAAACTATGCAAACCGGAAGCAATTTGGGAGCAGGTTCTAATTTTCCATTTTGAACCCACTCACTAACATCTAGAACAGAGTTCTGCATGCAGTGGAAATCGGAGAGGGTAGAGATTCCTGAAACACTGCAAAATATTCAACATCCTCAAGTGTAAAGATGCTGCCAGGCGTCACCTCTTTTCTTTTCCCAACCAAGTGTGGTTGGTAATCGGCTCATTAATCCACTCAGGAGGCCAGAACTCAAACATCAGTTTCATAGTATTAATACTCGCCCTTCTTGGTTTATCTCATAAGAGAAGCTTACAGGTGAATTTTGGTTCATCAAAGCTGGGGTCACACAAGCAGTTCAGTTACTATCTCTGAAGGGCAGTGACACAGCCTACAATGTAAGACATGTAAAATGATAGCAGTCCCTAGTATCTGCTGAACAACATAAATGGTCTGATTAGAACTAACTCCATACAAAATGTCAGATGCGATCAAAGGAGTATAGAATCTCGTGTAATACTCATTGAGTACCTAAGAAGGGGCAGGCACTGGGCCATTCCCACTCTGTGTGATTCTCATTTAAACGTTACATCAAACCTAGCAAGTGATTTTTCCCCTTCGACTTTCCAGAATATAGGCTCAGAAAAGTCATAAGCTTTTTCCCTACTGATACAGACAATAAAGTCAGAGCAGTAATGTGAACCAAAGTCTTCCTAATGTCCATGGCAGTGCCCTTGACCATACCATAATATCCTCTGAAACACAGACTGGAAAGAAACACTACTTTGCAGATACTTGAGAAGGTAAGTTGCAGAGAACACCTACATCTCTTGATGAGTGGGCCCTACATAGATGCGTCTCTCACTTCAGTATAGTGGATTTTAAAATATGATAGCATCTATAAAAAGTTTCCCACAATAGTTATTATTGCAATCCTATCATTAGGCTAAATAATGATACTCTACTTAAGTATTAATGTCTTTCATCCAAGGATCAAGGACACGAGAGACAGTGTGACTAATTTTTTAAGACACTAATACTACACACTGGGAGTGGCAGGAAGTGTGAGGGAATCCCAGCAGGTTTCAGATGAAGGAAATATTTGTGCACACAAGCATCTCAGGCTGGAACGGGGAGGAACTAGAAAGGGCAACTTAGGATGCAGTAGGGCTGCATATTCGAAGACCTAAAGGTCTAAATCTCTCCATTTAAGCAGCAGCAAACCCTCTGAGGTAGTGACGCCACCCTTTTCTTTCTTCTCTACGGGCTCAGTGCTGACAGTCAGGATGCAGATGGGGGCCGTTTCACCAAAGAAAGGCAAGATCGTGCCCAACCAAACCATTCACATCCTCTCTCCTCCCCCGGCTCCCAACCACCCCTGAGATGAAGTCTGAGACTCACCACGAGTTCGCTGAACATGACATCCAGCTCCTCCACAGGGGGCATGGGTAACGCTGGCTCCATGGTCTGAAGCGCAAAGTTGCTATCATTTCGCAGCCGATACGTGATTTCTGGGTGATCATTGTTTCGGAAACAGCAGAAGATGAATGAAATCCCCCGTCCACCTCTCTTTCTTGGGGCCATAGCTGAATTCTGTTTTATTTCTTGACTAATTAAACTCTGCCAAAAGAGGACATAACAGAGTTAAGAATACAAAATTGGATAATATATATACATTAAAAGACAGACCCAATTCACGAAAGAGCCCCATGTACTGAAGGCAAGGTCAGAAGGGGCTGAGAGTTGGAGACAACGTCCACAGGATATAGAGGACAAGCCCAAGAGGGTCTGGGGGCCAGCTGAGCAGAGAGCACATGTCCTTCTAATCACATGTTGAATGTTTCCTATGGCCCACTGCTGAGCGAACAGTACCACCCCAGCCACCCTACGCCCCGGCATTTGCTCCAATCACACTGGGTCCTGGCCATGCTTTGCACATCACCTGTTCTTTCTTGCCAACCCATACTGGTATTGTTACCCCCTGCAATTTTGACCTTCTCTTCCTTGCCACCTAGAAGATTTCTTACTCATCCTCTAGGGTTTGATTGCAATTTCTCCTTTACCATCCTCAAGTAGAAGTAATAATATATATGCTAAGGCACATCTACCTATTCCAGCTCTTGTCACAGTCTAAGTTCCTTAGCAGTGTGTCTTCAAATTAGACCAGGGTAACTAAAAGCAGGAGGGAGGGACTCTGTATCAAGGAACTGGTGGCCCCAGTGCTCCACGCAGCACCAGAAGAGAGAGGGCACCTGGTTAATGTTTATTGTGTTGAATAAATTCATAGCAAACGGGGAGTGACTTAACATGAGCTAGGAGGGTCAGAGATTTCCAAACAGAAAAGATTAAATAAGTTCACTGACAGAGATGGTTGACTAAATTACCGTATACTCACATAAGAGAACCTAACACTCACTAAAAAGAACAAGGCATCTGTGCATGTAGATATGAGAAAAAAAAAACGCTCAAGATGCTATGCGATACGTGTACTATATATACAGGATTACATCTTTTAATTTACATGTAAGAAATGTCATCAGCAGTAACCTCCAAAATAAAGAGAGGGGATTGGAGAACTACTTTTCACTTCATATCCTTTCAAATTTGAATTTTTACCATAAAAACACTGCAGAATTTTAACCACTACACAGTCTTTTTTAAGTCACAATTATGTGTATTATCCTAGAAAAATGTCTAAGTCATACTGTCAAGTGAAAAAATGCAACTAAAAGGATAATGTGTATCACATGTCCCATAATGTCTTTTTAAAACGATCTTACACAAAAACCTAAATAATTTACATGTAAATACACAGCAAAAGGCCTGGAAAGATACACAGCAATTTCCTAACTCTGAGAGATGAGAAGGATGGGGAATAGGCAAGAATGAAAACATACTTTCTGTGAGATATACATATATATGTATAAATATATATATACACACATTTATGATGAGAGTACATTCATGTATAACTCCTGTAGATTTTTAATTTTTAAAGAGAGATGGGGTTGAAAGTGGGGAAAAAAAGGTGGACTATGAATTGACCCTTGGTGATCTGGAAGGGCAGCTACATCTGCGCCGGGAAGAAGTGGGGAACCCAGGCATGGAGTCCAGGGAGGAGCCACAGAGATGAGCGTGCAGAGGAGGGCTGGTGTGGAGAAGACGCAGCCCAGGCTGAGAGTCTGGATTTGCCCCGTGAGCAATTTCGAGTCACACTTAAATGCCCCAGCCATCCCACTCTACTTTCGTAAAAAAAAGTAGAGAAAGCAGATGTGGTTGGGCCTTGATGACTCTCAAAGTTCAGAGCTGTGGGCAGGTGACCTTGCTGGAGAAGCTGCAGTGACCGCTGAGCACCAGACAGTGCACTGCAGATGATCAGACAATGCATTCACGTCCCCGACCAGAAAAAAACGCAGCACTGCTGAGACAGAGCTAACACTACAGCAGGCACTTCTTGAGATGGAAGAGAAAACCCGAGGGGGAGGCGGAGGCCCGCAACTATCCTCTCAAACGATTTCTAGGGGCAGCTCCATAGCAACAGGGTCAGGCGCCCCATCCCCAGAGTGAATTTAAAACCAATGGGAAGAAGCTATAAGGAAACATAAGGAAGAATTTTGCAGTCTATGGTTGGGGTAGGATGGAAGTGAGGAGTCCCTGGCTCCACTGTCTTCAGACTAGAGTTACCTGTTAGAAATGCCTAAAGGGTAAGGTACTCCAACTCTCAGATGGGAGAGGGGAGAGAAATCAGAGATTTTCAGTAGGTGTTGATTTGAGCTTCTCACTGCAGCTTCAGTTTCAGCAGCTCTGCTTTTATCCTTTTGGATATTGACTTATTATCTTAACATCCTGTGGCTACTCACTGCAATTATGAGAACATGCAAAAGCCACACAACAGCCTCCAAGGGGCATTACAATCTGGCTTCTGACTGCCCCCTCCCCCACCCCCATCATGTAGCACTCTTTGTATGAGTCACTGCACTTCAACTATACTGGCCATGCTGACTCCTGCCTCAGGGCCTTTGCATCAGCCACATCCCTGATCCACGTCCTTGACAAGCATGTTCTGGCCACACCTGTGCATGCCTGATTCTTCTTGTCATTGAGGCCTCAGCATGAATTTCACTTTCTCAGGAAGCCAACCCAACCACTCTATCTGCCACAGTCCTGTGCAATGCTCCCGTCACTCTCTCTCTTTACCCTGTTTGAAGTTCTTCAGGGCAAGTATCACCATTTCAAATTATCCTATGTGGTTATCTCACGGGGCAGGGACCTTGCACATATTGTTCACTGCTGTGCCCTCAGTACATAATACTACATGGGACACATGTATATGTCTCACATATTTAACTAGAGGAACAGTCGACTTTTACATAAAATTTCATTTAAACAAAGGACATTATTTTTTTTTTTTAATGTTTAGACTATGAGGCATGGGGATGCAAGTCAAGGAGTCCTGAAGCTTTATCTCCAAGATAAAAATTAAATTAAATTTTATTTAATTAATTAGTAATTATTAATAATAACTATTATTAATTTTAATTATTTAATATTTAAAAAATAAAACAAATGTATCCATACATTATTTACACAACTAAAAATAAAAGTGTACACACAAAAGACCAGAAGCAAGTGTGTCGACATTTAACAATGGTTAATTCTGCATAATGAAGAAAGGAATGAACTTTGAACTTTGTTCTTGTTAAGTTTTAAAAGTAAAACCCAACTAATGGACTTATGGTGTCTCTTTCAAATTAGAGAATCCAATTCTAGAATCTGTCACCAGTTTTTCTTGATTGTGTAATTAACACAATGATGCAAACTTGGGTGAAAATTCTCATTAATAACTATGACTTACAAACACTTCTAGAGAAAAACCCTACACTCACTTTAAGGGATAATGGTCTCCAAAAGCTAGCAACTGGAAGTCTCTGAGTTGGGAAGGGAGAAAAGAGGTTAAGAGCAAAGTATCTGTCACGGAGCCTATATGATGACCTAACCGACCCTGGAATAAAGACTTCACCGAGACACCTAATATTTCATTCTGTTGAAGCAGACATCTCCTGGCTTAGGGAGTATCTGTACAAGGTCCTATGAGCCATATGCAGTTCCTCGGATTCCCCTGGTAAATGTGTATTAGTATCTGCTATATACCAGGCATGACAGTAGGTACCTAAGGATACAGAAAGGAAGGGGTCATTAGGAGCTTCTAATCTGGTGGGAGAGAGAGCTTGAGGGTGCTTAGCTGCTCCGTCATGTACAGCTCTTTGCAACCCCATGGACTACAGCCCACTAGGCTTCTCTGTCCACAGGGTCCTCCCAGCAAGAATCCTGGAGTGGGCTGCCACGCCCTCTTCCAGGGGGTCTTCCTGACCCAGGGACTGAGCCCACATTTCCTGTGCCACCTGCACTGCAGGCAAACTCTTTACCCACTGAGCCACTGAGGAAGCCCCGAGAGCAGTGCTCCAATTAATTCTAACAAAATTAATATGACATATCATACAGTACGTGCTCTGTAATAAAGCAGGACCACTGTAGGGAAGAAACTGGTCCCTGATGCTTGTGTGGAACTTTGACAGATATTAGAAAGCCGGGCATTTAGACAGACTGAATAATGCACACAAAAGCATGAGTTGGGAAGGGGCAAGGAGTACACAGGAAGTGAGAGGCGGTACACACAGCACAGGCGATACAACATCTTCTGAGAGCTGAGCCCTGGAGGGTCTCATCTCTTTACTCAAAACCCACCAATGGCTCCCCAACACCATTCTAAACTGGCTTTCAGTGCATCATCAAATCCAATTCCACCTCACTGCTTCTGTTTTTTGTACTTCCTTAAAAGTATCCTAAGGACTTTCCTGGTGGTCCAGTGGTTAAGATTCCATGCTTCCAACACAGGGGGTGTCGGTTTGATCCCTGGTCAGGGAACTAAGATCCCACATGCCAAAACAGTTTAAAAACATAAAAAAATAAGATAAAAAGCATCCTACACTTAGCCAACAGACAGTTTTCCATGCCCCATAAATAAATTGTCTTCTATCCAGGTGGTCCACTCATTCCCTCTGCCCTTCTCTTTGTCAACTGTATCCCCGGGCTGACAGTACCAGTCATGAGAGCACTCAATGCAGTAAGCCTCGTCCACTGCTGGTGGCAGACGAAATCTGGTTCAACATTTCCAAAGGGCAATTTACCAAGGACCTAAAATGGTCTCAATTTTTGACCGAGAGTTTCTACTTCTGGAAATACATTCTAAGGGTATAGTCAAAGATACAATCAAAGGAGTTTTCACAAAAATTATCAAAGCTTGATCTTTAAGAGCAACTAAACAAGGGCACAGAACAGATGCTAGTGATAGAGAACTATGTGAAGAGTAAATAAGTTATGGTACAACTAGTTGGCAGACCACAATCCAATCCTTTGAAACAGAATATTTAATACAAGGATATATCGTACAGCACAGGGGATATAGCCAATATTTTCTAAAAACTATGAGAGGAATATAACCTATAAAAATTCTGAATCACTGTTATATACCACAACTAATATTGCAAATCAACTATAACTTAAAAAGTATATTTAATGACATG